TGATGATGATGATATAAGTGGTTCTTCACGAACACTTGTTAATGTTGATATCGAACATATAATAAATAAAACGCTAGCAACATAAAAAATCACACTAAATTCGCCACCTAAAATCCAGCATAAATTTATTTTATTTTTTCAAAACTTATATTTTTATTTTACCGTGTTTAGTAAACATTGGAATAGGATCCCAATGAATTGCACCAACAATAAAACCTAAACCACCACCAAAACCTATTTTAAATCAATCTATACATACATATATTTCATTTTCATAGAACATTATTTTCTACCTCCTAGAAAAATCAAACATAAAGAAAATAAATTCTATAAGAAAACAAAAAACAAAATCTAATTATTTACCAAGAATAGCATGTATATTAAATCCTCGTTCTTGATCTGCTGGATTTGTTGTATCAATCAAATAAGCACGTATGGGTGCATCAGCACTATCCGCACAAAAATCTATATATTATACAACCATTAATCTGTCAAATCTTATTAATCATTTATATTTTACCAAGAAAAGTTACACCCACGGCTGTTAATATGACAGCTTTGTATGGAATCTTTACAAACAAAAATAATATATATATATAAATAAAATTAACAAACACAAACCGTTCCCTTTTCAGTTGAATCACCAAGAAGTACACCTAAATCTGAACTATTAAGTAATAATGTAACACCGAGAAAAGCACCTTAAAAAAATAAAAATATGTTTTGTTTCTCTTTTTGAAAGTCAATTTACCAATAGCAAAAGCTAAAATGAATGGCCTTCGTCTTCCCCATTTACATTTACATGTATCACTCCACATACCAATAATTGGTTGAAGAAAAAATCCAAGAATTGGACTTATTAACCAAGCCATTGAATAAAATCTTAATAGAAACAAAAAGATGAGAAAATTTTGTAAATTTGAATTATATAAATGATTTACGATTCAGGTACTCGTAATGAAGTTAAAATAGGTACTGTTAGTGCTGTTTCAACTGCATACATAAATTCAATTGCAAAGAAAAAGAAAACCAATCGTAAAATAATCCATATACTTTTTGATGGTGGTTGATCTAAAATAAAACATGAGAGTAATTAGTAGTAGATTCTACAGAAATGATAAGAACGATTAATCAATTATGTTATTTTCATGAATGACTTGTCAAAATATATTGTAGACATCAACCAGAAATCATCTATTTATCTTAATAATATCAATTAATTACGCGCTTATTTTTCATCATTCTACGTACGTTCGAGATCATTAGACAACAACAAAAGTCTATTTGAATAAGATCCTGTATAAAAGTTTTTATTCTTATTTTATCTAGGAATTCAAGCTATTAATATACTTGTGAGTAATAACGAATTTACAGCTAAGAATAGGACTGGAAAATTCTAAACTATCTTCCGGTGTGCTTTTGTTCAATATACATCATAACTCATTTTTACATCCTTCATAGAATTGATGTGATGTTTAAATAACTCGCTTTTCAATGTGTATTTCACATATAATTAACTTGATACTTAAAAGCCATGTTTGTTTTCTTTTGTGCTTATTTTTATATATATATATTATTCATTCAATAGTGAAAACACGGTTGTTTCTGTCATGATCAAAAGAAGAAAGAATATGTTTTTTGAACATTGATCGATGATCAGGTGTGCAAAGAACTCTATAGAATTATTCGAACAATAGTCAAACATATGATTTACTCGATCGATGATGAATATAGATGTTCAATTCGGTATGCGCGAGAATCTATAGAACAATAATGTTAGCTCAGATGATTATACGTGCTTCATTCTATTCAATGCGTGCCCGAGCGCTAATTTTTCCTTCCGTTTCCTTACTTACATCCATATAGAACAAAAAAAAACCCAAAAAAAACGAAGAAAGAAAATGAAGTAGAAAGAGAGAGAGAGAAAGGAGAAATATATTAACGATAGGCATTCATATCGGAATGTAACAAGAAATTATTAGAAAAAAAAACGAAAGATGATAATACTTTTACTTAATCATGTCAACGAATACAATAGATCAGTTAATTTTATTTAAACGTCTATTAATTATATTTGGTTCAGTATGTTGTCTATGGTTAATCATTGGATTTATATTTCTCTCAATTGAAACTTATCGTCAATTAAAGGAAAAGACAAATTATGATATGTTTCGTTATAATCGAATATTAAATTTGCCATCATTATTATTAACGAATATTAAACAAACATTAATAGGAGGTAATATGTCGGAAAATGATGACAATGATGATGATGACGATGATGATCGAATCAGTATTGTTACTTCTGTTTCATTTATTTCTGAAAGATCAAAAACTACTCATGAACATCCATATTTTACGTCATCATGTCAACATATAACCGATGAACCAATGACAATAACATTTCCAAGTTCAACAGGTTTTACAAATTTAGCGTATAGTCCATCAATATTATCATCATCTAGTGATAATGCTACTTCTCTTCTCTATCATCCTGCTTATCAAAATTTTTCATATCCACAGTCTAATGATAATTATCACAAAAAATCTTCAATACCTTCGTTAAACTCACCGCCTTCAACTAGTCGATTTAATTTTAAGCGTCAATTATCAACAAATACATTAATGAGTGAAATGACAAATGCAACATATATGTCATCGAAATCTGCTATAAAAACTTTACTACTACCAACACTTATGATAACTGATGTCGATCGATTACAAACCGATATAATTGAACTTGAAAATTTCGAACCAGAAAAAGAATGGTATCATAAGAAATCTCAATTAAGATTTTTACTTAATGATCATATGCCTTATGAAATTAAATAATTTATATGTTTCTTTTTTTTAAAATTACCTTCATCTTCATCTTCATTTGTACTTTCGCCAATTTCAGCTACTGACGATGCTCTATTCTGTTTAAAACCAGGAAATAAATGTTTTGGCATTGGTGGAGCTGAAAAAAAAGAATATTTCAAATAAAATTTCTTATTTAATTTCTTTTTTCTAAAACCTTTTGGTATTCTTTGTCTTCTAAGAGCAAAATAAGAACGTCGAAAAGCAGGTCGTTGTTCATAATAAGGTAGACCATCTAAACTACCTCGTGAATCTGACGATCGAGTAAGTCCTTTTGAACTTATTGGTCCCAATAAATATGGATAACGATTACGATTTTGTGAATGATGTGGAAAATGATGATGTTGATGATTATGTCTTTGAATTGATGTTGGAGGTAGTGGATGATCAACATTAATAGATGCTAATGAACGTGATAAAGGTAGATCTGTTGTTGTTATTGGTCCTGCAAAAGTTACATTATCTGTAGGTTGATTCATTCCCATATTAATATAAACTGGAAGTGTTGGTGCAGAAAAACCTTGTAGAAGATCAAATGGAGTATCATTTGATGGAACAATTGGTCCGTCAATATAAATTGATGATGATGTTGGAGGTATATCATTTGTTTGATTCGTTAAAGTATTGTCAATAGATGTATCATATAAAGATGTGTATGATAAATTTGGTTCATTAGCGGAATATAATGTTCCTGTTGGTTCACTTTTAACGGATGATGGAGATGAATGTGCCATAGAAATATTTAGATATCTTTTTTCTAAAATTTATATCTAAAAAATGATGAATATTTTACCTGTTATCTTTCATTTCTTTTTTTTTCGATTGGGAACACACACATGGTTACATATATGACTCAACTGATGATATCATTTGCTTATCTTTCAGCCATATTAATAGTGTTCAATGCCTTTATTTCTTTTCTAAACAAAAGATGGTGCTAATTGAAATACTTGAAAAATTAAACATTTGTCTTTTGTAGATAATATCAACATGAATTGATGAGTACAAAAGATGAATGTAACTTGTACTTTTTCTCGTTCGTCTTATGTCAATAAGAGATTAGTTTATTTCATTTTTTTTTACCTTTACTATTTTTTTCGTTTTACTGATAATAAACTGTAACACGGGTTTATTTTTTTTGACGCACATCCAAAAAAGGTTCGAAATAAAATCTGACCTTATTATTTATTTATAATAGAGGAATTGAAAATAATATTACGACGACATTGGATAATTTGTTTGTAGAAAAATCTGTCTTTCATCTATTAAAATGATTTATTTGATTTTTTAATAGGATATATTATATGAGATAGATTATACTATAAGCTCTATGTATATGTCAAAAACATGGAAGTCGAATATATAAGAATAATTACACTGTTGTGATTGATGAGCAAACACATTTAAATATCCACACATGGTGTGATACACGTTCTTAGATAAAAATATGCATATTCATAAAAATTTAATATAATGAAAAGAATAATAGTTATCTTCAAAATCTTAGCTATATAACATATTTATTATTTACTTTGATACTTTTCATTACAATGAATATTTAATATATGCTTTGGTCTAATAATATGAAAACAAAGTTGTAACGCAATAACCCTGGGAAAAAAAATATAAGATATAGAGCGAAGAGTTCCTGTATTGTCTATTGATACTTCAGATTTATTAATAAATCGATCGAACTTTATTTCTTAAAGATAGTAGATAAAAGACTTACTAAGGTTTCTTATATAAAATATAGAAAAGCTTCTGGCAATCTGTTCCTTCAAGTATCTTTTTTTTATGATTGGCTATCAACACTGATAATATCATAAGATCATTCGTCTTAATGGTTACAATAAGAAATACAAGAAGTTTCTTGTTTTTTTTCCATAATAATAATATTCTGTCTTACAAATTATATAAACAAAAATGTTAATCATATAAAAATTTTTTTTTCGAAATTTACAAGACGATATAATCAATAGTAGTTGATAATTATTCTCGGAATAAAGTAAACGTATCCAAGCAATAAAATATCTCAATTTCTTTTTTCCCTTAATAATACATTCTTGATTGGTTGTCTAAGTAACAATTTTTTTTTCAAGTTTCGATTAAAAAAAAACAAACATATGTCATATATTTACGTTTTAAATCATTGCACGAAAGAAAAAAAGAGAAATTGTTTCATCCACTTTTTTCACAATTTAGCAATTGAATGTAAGTATATATATATATACACAATAACGTCTATTCAAAACTGGTAAGTGCTAAAGTAAATAGTTCGTTCTCTGATACTGATATTTAACAATTATGTTTGTTAATCTTAACGAAGAAAAATAATTCTCAAGAGTTTATATTGAAATAGTCGATTAAATCAATAGAGAAGAATGTTTCAAGATTTATGTATATAGAAAAAAAAAGTTCTATTGTATATTCATAAAATCAAGTTTGTGGGTAATACTTGCTTAATTATACATCGAAAACTTCTATATAGTATCCAATTTCAAGTTCAAATATATTTTCAGATTTATTTATAAAATAAAATGGCAACATTTTCTGGTAAACGAATTCAACAAGAGGATTTTCGTTGTGCTATATGTCGACAAAAAAATGTTTTTCATTGTGAACATAATACACCTTATCGTGATCAATTTCGAGATACATATGTTCCAGAAAGGCTACACATGATGTCAACAACTAATCAAAGAGAGATTCAACGAACACAACCAAATTATAATTATAATGCGACATATAATGATGACCGAAATATGAATTCAAATTTTGATCCACGATATAGCCAGAGCAGAAGATCAGACTATAATTCTTATCCAAACAGAAATAGATCGTCAAAATCGCATAAAAAAAAGAAAACAAAAAAAAGCTGTGTTATTTTATAAACTTTATTTACATATAGATTTTTTTCTTTCATCTGTTATTTTTATATATTTAATGTACAGTTTTACAATAATTCAATTAAATTATAAGTTTAAAATACTTGTATATTTTTATAAAACAGAGTTATTTATCACTTACTGTATTGAATAGTATTATTTATAATTCAATCAAATAGGCGGTTTCTTTTGATATTAATAAAGGAATATATCTTCTGATATTAATAATGAAGTCTTATTGTCGTTTAGATACCTTAAAAGTCATTAAATAGCTTTGATGAATAATAAATAAAAGAACTTAATTGTTTTTTTTCAATCACTTCTTCACACTTTTGTTTTTCAAGGTCAAGGGTATAGGACATATTCATTTTTTGTTATTCGACATATGTAAAAGGTTTCAAATGTAAACAATGAAATGTCATTGAAGAACGACAATATTATTTCTCATATTTTGTCTACCATTATTTTTCTTACTAAAACCAATAATAACACTTGGTGATCTTATTTATTTATTTATCAAAGATATACAGAATAACTTATAACCTATAAATAGTATCTCATCAATAATATCGATATATTTTACATTTGAATCTATATAGGAATTAAATCGAGTGTATCGTTTTGATAAATCGTTTTATTTTTCTGCAAATAAATCAAATGAAACCGAAAGATTGATCAGTATTAAATAATCCGACATTTTTTCGTACCCCTATCAAGGTTAATTGTTCGAAACAATAGTCATAATAGGTGTCTGCATGCATATATCATATTTTAAATTGATCATAATATTGATTACACGCATATTTGATAATAACTCATACAATACAAATGACATTGACATGGAAAACTATCAACAGTATTGTTTTGTTCTTTACTATTATATGTCATTGAGAATATAGATACACAAATAATTTTAAAAAAAGCGAATATTTATGTTTTTTGAATTAACTAAAAGTATAGTAAATAGATAAGAATGAAGAATAAACTTTCTGGTGAAATATGAAAAGTCAAAGAATATATTTAATTACAAAAAATATCCATTGAGTAGAAAAATATCCTTGAAATTGTTTAATATCATGCATGATCATGCAATTTACTTGTAATATTTCTAACTTTGCTTTTTGGGTACAAATTTCGGACATGAATACATATTTAGAACTATATGTCTGTAAATCATGCGTAAAAATTGCATTTTCTTCATCTTTTCAATATACTATGCAATCTAATGTATATTTCTTACCTTCATAAATATTTGGCATGTCTAACTCTTGTATGTTCATACAAAATACATATCTCCTGTATTTATTTACAAATAAAGACTAGATCTTCTTCATATTCTTCATATTAAACCAAAAAAACTGATACTGATTTGATTTACAATTTCGACCTTTTATTTCTTGATCAGTATCTGATTTATTTCTCGTTCAAACATCACCTATACTTAGAACGTAAGCACATGAATGAATGACAAAGATTTTTGTCTTAGAAAATTAAGTAAGTATAGTTGAATTCTACCTGTATGTTCATACATTCTTAAAACATGCAGTTCATCTCGTTGTAATATTGTCGTCTATTTTATAAGGTTTCCCTGTTTTATAAATAAAATATATTAATATCTAACAATAGTTTATGGGTTTCTTATTTGAATATTTCGATATTATGTCAAAAAATTATTTTGAATTCACATGATGTAATTCTGACATTAATAGGTAAAGTTTATTAATAATACTAAAATCATCCCCCCTTTGCGATTTAAGAGTCTGCCATTGTATTGAGTGAGAACTTATTCTTCTAGGTTAAAATAGTTGAAATGTATACCTGAACATGCTAATGTATCTTTGACTATTTTTAATAAAAAAAAAAAGGAAGAAGTATAAACTATACTATATTCATATATATGTCAATCTAATCATCTCGACTTTTTAAGATAAGTACGAAACATAAGATTTCAATGACATATATTACATGTATTGAATAATCTATGATAAATGATGAAAACATGTAATTCTCAATATTACATCATTTTTGTTAATTAGTTCGAATAATCAAATCTAAGAATAAAATTTTTTGTTAAATAGAAAAATCTATCTTAAATAAAATATCTACAATACGATAAATGCTTCGCTCGAAAAACTATGATTATTTATCTTGTCAAATTGACAGATCAGATAGTATGTATATTTTTCTGGTTGATCAATTTTAGTTATAAATTAACGTTTGTACATGTCATTTTACAACTAATCTTACATAATAGAAACATCGAGAAATATAGTTTATACCTTGATAGAATTTATTCTTTTTTCCTTCTCTTCATTACTTTAACAAAATAAAATTGATTTTTTTGTATTATAAGACATATACATAAAAAGTTACATTATGAATTTATTTTATATCAATCACGCGACATATGTATATATATTGCTTTCGATTAAATACAACTATAATTGTACACGACATTAAGAAAGGTTATTACATGTGTGAAAAAAACGAGAAATTAGTCTTAATACAGAATATATTCTTTAGGTTTGAATGGAACTGTTTTTATATTTGATTGAACAGTAAGCTCAATGTGTATATCGACTATTTCTTAGACTTGATGCTTATACATACACTCAGTATGTCGCTGAATTATAAATAAGACAGACATGAATCGATTTTATGTTATTGACCATCAATACGATTAAAGTGTTCATTCTCCTCCCAACGATGATGTTGATATAATTTGATTTTTTTTTCGTCCTACTTTAGAAAGAGAAAATATTCTTTTGTCCCTTTAGTATACTCCTTATTCATAGTTTATTCTTATTCTTTCTTTCCATCTATCCTCATTATTCGATTTCAACTATCGAATAAAATTACATTTAAAAGACGTTGAACAGTGTGTCTAATCAAATACGAAATTTTATAAAAACAACAAAAAAATAAAGGTAAAAGTCATTTCCGTTTCATTCATTCAAACGTTTTAATTACGGTCATTACCTAGGCAGTTAAGCGATAAGACGAACGAGGTTATAGACACAAAGATACAATATACTTTATATTTTGTTTGTCTTAATTTAGATTGTCTCACATTCATCATTTATTATATCTAACACATACATTTGATCAAACCAAATGCGTTTTACAAATAAAATTCTACTTACTATCATAATCCTATTTTCTATTCAATCGTATTTCTGTCAACAAGATTCGAAACTTTTAAATCATGATATTATTAATTATAATAACAATCAAACATTAACTCTTGGTAAGTTATTAAAATATATTTTTTTAGAAATTCAAGTAAAATATAGAATGTCTATTCCTGTTTTACTGATGATTTAAAATTAGTATATTCATTGATTGCTTATAATATTTTATTTCTATTTAGACAATATTTTTACAGAAAATTCATTGAATATCAATAGTTCAATACCTAAAACGATTATTGAATATTCATCAATAATTAATAAACACACAAAATATATAACTGATGAAGAAGATTATACTTCAAATGAATCGATTGAATTTTCTATTTATACAACTCAACAAATAATAACTATCCTTGCTGGTTTTACTTCGGAGAATATTGATTATATATTTAATATTGAGGTTTATTTTGATTTTGAGATAAAACAAGATTAATTTTCACATAATATATTTTTAGAATGGTCGACCGAAAATAATTTTTTCACGAGATAAATTATCAAATTTAATTTTAACAACAAAAAACGAGTCTGAATTAATTAACAATGGACAATGGCATCGATTGAGTGTCGAACGAACAAATCAAAAGGTTTTTCATTCAATAAATTAAAATAAATTATTTCCATTTTTTTTTTAAGTTACGATTTATTCTCGATAATATCGAACAATCTAATATTGATTTACCTGATGAATGGCAAACAAAAACAAATATTTTCATTGGAAGTGAATTAATACCTGCACCAAATAATGATTTCAATGGTAAAATTGGCGATGTAAGTCTTCTTTTTCTCATGTATACTTATTTTTAACCTTCAAGGTTATTAATATCAAGTAGTGTATTCATACTGAAATTATATGATTATTTTAAAAACCACGACTTATTTTATATTTTGTAGTCTATGTCAATGTGATTACTAGAAATATAGTTTGACCTCCAGCATAATAGATAATTTTACTTCTAAGTGTTGCTAGAATGTATATCCCTATTGAAATCTGATATTGAAGATATTATTTATATATTAATGCCTTTAAATAATATAAAACAGATACAAATAGTCAATGTCAGACAGAAATGTGATGAAAGATATGCTCATAAACTTTTCTCGTAAGTCTAAACAATATTGAATGTGACATGTTTGATATATCAAGGCAAAAAAGAAGATAGATTTTTCTTACAGAAATATATATTTGTTTGTAAAACAGATATTTAATCTTGTTTAAATAATATGACATTGAAAAATGAGAATGATACTCGGATTATGAACAAATGAGAAATTTTTATCACCTATATAAATAAATAATTATGCAGATTTCGGAATCATCTTTCGCTTAATCATTGTTTCATTAATTAGATTAGAGTTATCAATGTTAATCGATCTTTAACACTTGATAAAGAAGATTATTCAAATACAACCGATGAAAACTTAATAGATTCAATAACAATCATTAATAATCAATCGGAATTAATTCAAACAATTGCCTTTCTTCCTGATAATAATAATGAAATCATATTATCATCACCAAACAATTCATCATTTGAAAGATTATCATTTTCATTTCGTACATATGCCAATGCTAGTACACTCATACAATTTGAAGATGTTAAAATAAATATTGATAATGATGGTTATTTAACATTAGCTGTTGAAAATCGACAAACACAAAGAATTTTCTCATCTAATGAACAAAAACCAATTAATGATGGTAATCTTTATTTTGTTCAATTAGAATTAAATAATCGTACACTTGAAGTATGGATGGATATAAATAAGAAAACTTTTATTGAACTATCATCATCATTTTTTATAATTACAAATTTTACATTTGGTTTACATAATGAATTTATTGGATGTATAGAAAATATAACCTATAATCAACAAGTTCTCATATTTCAACACTTACCATTGAATCGTCAACAATGTTCGTCAAATAATATCATTTTAAAATCAATACATGATATTTATATTGATCAAATTATTTCATTTGAAGAATATGATCGTCCATTAGTTATTAATCTTGATAATCCAGAAATATTTTATATATTTGCATTTTCATTCTATACACAAGAATCAAATAGTATTATTTGTTCATTAGCTGATAAAACATATGATAATATCATTACATTAAGTGTACATCATGAACATTTAGTATTATCATATAATAATAAACAAAGAAAACGTATAGAAATGTCAATGAATAATTCAATTAATGATAGAAACGAACATAAATTAGTTGTTCGATTAATTAATAAAGATAAATTAGTATTTGAACTTGATGGATATAGAATAATAGAAGATATTTCAAATATATTTTATATTAATACAATTTATATTGGAAAATTAGATGGTTTTATTAAAGAACAATATTCGGATTTGGATGGAGAAAATTTTATTGGTTGTATTAAAGATATTATATTAAATGGCAAATCATTAGTTAAATTAGAACATATATACCGATCAAGTCGATTAGGAAATATTTGTCGAATAACTAACCATGAACGTAAGTTAATCAATAGTTCTGGTATAATTAAACAGTACTTAGCCCCCATACAATATAGCGTGAATAATCATTAATTTCGTATTGATAATATGAGTGTTATATTATTCGATTAATCCTTGACTGAATAAGTTTATTCAAGCGATAAAAAAAAATTAATTAAACAACTATGAATTAGAAATGTTCCTATTATGTCATGATAAATGATATGAAACGAATCATTAACCTTGATCATAAATTTTATTGTAATCGAAAGATAAGATTATTGAATAGTTCATTTTTGAATAATAATAAAACAATAAAATAGTCCTTCATAATATTCAAAAATCGATTTTTGATCAAACTATTAGATAATGATATTCTTTTTTTTATTTCTATTTATCTTATTTAAAAGATAATATGTTTATTTATTGAGTGACTCAATCATAAATAGAATAATTAAACCATATGAATACATTAGTGTTATCAGTATTTTATGAATTAGCCTTCAGACATAAAACTGTGATATAATATAGTTAATATATACAGTATTCTTTTTCATATATAATCAATACTTTTCTCAGACTGATACATAAGTTTTCATGGTCATTTTACTACCTGTCAAGATCTATAAATTATAGATTAGGTTATACTAGACATGTTTTTCTTTTCTTAGGTAAAAATGTTATATCATATATATCATCAGATATAAGTTTTTCAATACGTGATGATCACGATATAATTGAACTTGAAATGCCATATAATGATGAATTTTATCATTGTCAATTATCAATAAAAACACGAACACTAAATGGTGTCATTCTATCAATGTATTCCAATGATGATGATTATGGTCTTATACTTTTTTTAAATAATGGAAAATTACATTTAAAATATCATTCAATAACAGATACAATCTCACAATTTATTTTTAATGATAATCAAACAATTAATGATGGACAAAAACATGATATATTAATATCACGTCAATTATCAAAACTCACTTCATATAAAAATATGTTTATTGATATTGATCAACGTAGTACTGAAATATCATTTTCATCATCATCATCATTACTAGTTTTTGATATCATAATTATTGGTGGATCACATCGTGAGATGTCTACTAATGTATTTATTGGTTGTTTTTCTAATATAACATATAATCATCATCCATTATTACCTGAAGGAATTGTGAAATTTGATCGTTATGATTGTTTTTATGATCAAGATTCGATATGTGATAGACAAATACCTTGTAATAATATACAACCTTTACAATTTTGCGGTCAAATTGATTGTTCATTAGTGTGTATACCATCTTCAACTGATAATACGAACAAAAAAGGTTTACTTCGATATTTTTCTGACATTGAACAAGGAGAATATGAACAAATTTATTTAACAATATTTACAACGACAGGTAATTCAACTTTATTTGTAACATCTAATGGTTCAACTCAAGTATCAATTATCCTTCAGGTGCATTCATATGAAAATATTTATTTTAATTAAATTTTGTCAAATTTTTCAGGATTATTATCCACGTTTAATCATTCAAAATGGTGGAATAATTTATACATATGATTTTCCTGGTCGTGTACGAAATGATCAATGGCATATATTACAATGTCAAAAAACATTAAATACAGTAGATATATATATATATATTCTTTCTATATGAATAATTCGTTGATATTTTTTCTTAGATTGATTTGACATTTGATGATGAAACAAGACATTATACGAATGTAACTGAACATTTTACTTTATTTACTGATAATTTAATTTATATATGTGGAGGAAATTTTAATGGTTATATTCAAGATGTAAGTGAAAGACTTGAAAAAAAGAAAAATATGTTGTATTTCAATATTGATATAGATTATACTGACGGCAGATAGCCATTATGAGAATTTAATACAAAATTCTATTCATAATCCAGGTTTAATCGATTATGATGCAAGTGTTACTTGGAATAATCGTGCAAATATACCTGAATGTAAGTTTTATCAATATGTAAAACTAGACATTGATGGCAAGAAGCCTTCGATATATTTATTTTCTTTGATCGACATCTACATATATTTGCACAGGTGATCTAAGATCATTGCTATTAATAAATTTTTGTTCGAATTTGAATCTATATACAAGTGAGGATACTACCTTGAAGTTTGATTTAATAGAGGTGGCGACGACAATGTCAAGAGAATTGAGGCGACGCATGATGGTTGTGAAGGAGAGAGAGAGAGAAAGAACACAAGAGAGAGAGAGCGCACAGATGTAGATAGATGTACATTTGACAAACTTGTCGTTCCTGTTGGCGCATATTTGTAACAAATCTTTTTTTTGCACATGCTCGCACTTTATTTTTTTTTTCTTTGTCTCTTCTACATCAAATAATATTACCAACATCCCCACTTCGAACAACGCAAACGCGCGTACATATATATACACGATCGTTCTACGTATAGTTCGTGTACGTTTTTTTTTTATGTTAATAAGAAGCTTTTTTTTTTTTTGTTGCTTTAGTCTCTTTCTTTCTTCGTTCCCATTTGTATGTGTCTATGAGCACACATACATGCATAGTCAACATATATATATATATATATACAGGAGAGTAAAAGAAAAAGAAGTAGTAAGAGGACGACAATGAGGACTATGACTTGTGGTCTCAACATTACCAGCGTTGATAGAGAGACAGACAGAGAGAGAGAGAGAAAAGCAGTAGAGATGATGTCCGCATAGCATATTCTCTCGCTTTGTCGATATAGTTGTCTTACTAATATGAGATATTGCTAACCGTTCTACTTTCATATCTTGCTTCTCTACATTACTCATACATAGTTGATTTTTCTTGATATATTTCTCTCTTTCTCTCTTTTCTGCCAACATACTCGTCACCGTTATTTTGCGGTTTGGTGTTTGTTTGCATCTTACACCATTCCTCTTTTTTTTTTCTGTCTCTGTCTCTTTCTCTGTCTCTCGTTTCTTCTCGTGTTTCTATTGCTATTGCATAGCGAGAGAGAGAAGTGGGAGGAGGAGGAGGAAAAAGACGAGCTCAAAACGATATTCACCATCATCAATCGACACCGGCTATTACATTAGCCGAATTAATATATTGGCAAAAGACTTTCTTTTCTTTCCAAGTCTTTTTCATCCGTATCTATATCTTTGACTTTTATCGTTAACCATCATCATCGTTATTGTTTCATTCTCGATATATATCTACAGTTACTATTCTCAACAACTACATATTACTCATCGACCTTGCTAAGAAAAGCAAAGAATACAAAAAAAAAATACATATATATATTCAAACATTAGTCGTCATTTATAATGATGTGATTCATCCATCCGTGCATTCATTGATATAAGAGTTACACGCTTCTTTTTCATCGCTTTTTTTGTTATATTCATTATTACATACAATGAAATTCTTCGCTTCGTTACTATTGATTATCACTCTAACTGAAGCTGCACCACCTCCTCGATCATCTCAATATGAATCACGGCCAGGCGGCTCCATGCCGTGTTACCTTGGCTGTTGTAAGTGTTGTAATCATTTTTTTCATATTAATTCTTTTTTTACATATTTCTTCTATGAACATAATTTCTAGTTCATTAGATATACAAATATATTCTTTTTTAAGGGACACCTTGTGAACGAATCCAGTGTCTTAATGGTGGTTATTGTATACAACCAGCAACTCAAACAACTTTAGCTTATTGTCATTGTCCTTCACAATATACTGGATACCGCTGTGAACAAGGAGGTAAACAATTCTTAACTTTTTTTTGTCTTGCTTTTATAATGCATACTGAGTATATGGCATTTGTCGTCAACGGGATAATGATCTTGGAGCCGGTGATAGAACCTTGAGAAATAAATAGATCAGCCTGTGTATTGTGTGTGTGTGTGTATGTGTGTGTGTGAGAAGGATTACATATCCCTTCGATAAGATTATCTCTTGCTCTTTCTCTTCTTCTAAGCATCAAGGTAACTATGCAAACAAAAGCATCCTGTGTATGTATATAAAAAAGTTAATTTGAGTCAAGGTTCTGTATCTTTTTTCTTTTATCTTTCAATTTATTTGTTTATTTTATATTTTCTTTTAGTAACTGTTGATCCATGTTTAAATTATCAATGTGGTCATGGAACTTGTAATAAAGATCGTAGTAATCAACCTTATTGTTCATGTTACGAAGGTTATGGTGGTTCACGATGTGAAACTCAAATTGGTATGTTAAGCAAAAAAAACTTATACAAGGGAATAGATATGATTAATAGAAGTAGATATAAGTAACAATAATAATAGTTATTAGTCATTTTTCTTTCACGGATTCATAGGTGATGCAACAATAACTAACGATCAAGTTCCATTAATGAATAGAATAACGAAACAAGACAAGAGAATTAGAACATATTTTTTTTCTTTGTACACGCTTAAACATACACACATCAATCATTGTCTTAGCAAAAGTTGTGGTCAATCGTTTTCCTTTTGTTTCTTATCATTACTTTTATATAAATGTCACTGACTTCAAAAGGAAAATTTTTAAAAGAAAAACATTTACATAGAAAAGATTGATAATATCACATCTCGTTCGTATTAATAGAATACAAATAAAGATAGACATATGTTTGGTCTTTGAATAGTAGAGTACTAATTGCATATTAGATGGCACAGCAAAGCTAAACGAGTTCATTGTATGGATTAAGAGAAAGATAAAGAAAATTGATCAACATCAAAATAGGATATGATTGTGCAAGGCTTGCATAATTCTATCTTATTGTTTATCTCTATAAAGCAATCATCACTTGTTCGTTTTTCTTTTTCTCTTCTCTGTCATTGCACCTCCTCTTCAAAGATATAATTTAACATTATATTCAAGGTGATATATTGTCGTCGTCCATTTTTTTTTACATCATATCGTTCCATGCTTTGTGTATACACGAAAAAGTAACATTATGCAAATTTTTTTTGATTGAACATGCATATACATATGTGTGTATATATGTATACATACATATATATATATATATATATGTACCGTTAGTATAGGAGAAAAAATCGTACTCACGCACATATAAGTTGCACGCATGCTCAGGTGGTCAAATACATGTATATATGAATATATATATATATATATTCACTTTTATTCTAATTGAACTAGCCACTACCCTTCAATTTGCATAATGTGAAAGATGTGTGATTATTAATATGTGAAGAGAGAGAGAAAAAAACAAAGTAAAAAGATGAATTATATATGTATATATTTAAATTTAAGAACAAAATAACTGATTATATAGAAAAATGAATCAAAAAGTTAAATATCATACAATGTAATCAATGAAAAATATAAATTTTGCTTAGATCCTTGTGCAAAAGCCAATTGTAACTACGGAAGATGTGAAGTTGTCCGTAGTGCACCTGTTTGCCGATGCTATCAAGGTCACACAGGTCGCGATTGTCTCACTGTATTAGGTGAGTTTAATATATATATGTGTTGTAGGAGTGATTTTTACGTCGTAGTTATATTATTTACTCTAGTAGTTTTGTATTTAAAAAGAAAAAATGTTAGAAATCGTAGAAATATTTTTTTATGTAATTCTTTGTTTCTTTATCTCTGAAGATGCATGTGCTCGAGTATCATGCAACTATGGTACATGCATTAATGAAGGTACATCTTACAGATGTGAATGTCATGGAGGTTACGAAGGTCCAGCATGTGATCGACAAATCGATCCATGCGCAAGTTTTGTTTGTTATAATGGAGGTGTATGTAATTCACAATATGACAGTCAACCATCGTGCCAATGTGCACTTGGTTATCGAGGAGTAAATTGTTACGAAGCGGAGGGTAGGTGATAAGATCTACTTTGGCATGAAAAAAAATGTTCGCATGAAACGAACTAACAAAAACTGATGGATTTTTTTTTTGTTGTCGTTTGGCTTATACTTCCAATAGACACTTATCATAATATCAAGTGGAATTATGAACAGTGTCTGTTTAATAAGCATGATAGAATATCTTTCTGTGAATGTTTGCGTTGCTATGAAGGTGTCCTATGTTTGGATGAAATCAAAGTATTTGTGATGATTGTTATGAATAGACAGTTGACATACGTATTCTGTAAATAGAGGAAAAAAAAGAGAAAGAATGACGCTATTCTAAGGCTTCACTAAAGCAGTAAAAATCAGTCCCTATTCAATCTAACAATTCAGCATACTTATAAAAATCGTTTTTTTCTTCTTCAATTCATATTGAAATAAGAATAAGAATAATACAAATGAATGTATTATTTTTATTATTTGGTTGAATATAAAGTTTGTTTTTATTTATTTTTTAATATTCTTTTCAATGCATGTAGACATTGCTTATGCTTCTAGCTAATGAAATTCAAAATAAATTTTAACCTGAAACCTTTTGTTTTTACTTTGATTTAATCTATGATTGTTTGTTTTTGTTTCTGTTTATAATTAGTTATCGATCCATGCTCGCGTTATGATTGTTATGGTGGTACGTGCACGAATGAACGAGGTGCAGCTCGTTGTATTTGTCCACCAGGACGTGCAGGCACTCGTTGCCAAGGTTATTTTGATTAAAAAAAATTCAAAATATAATTTATCATATTTTTTATTTTGAAGATGACATATGTACAATATACCCATGTGCAAATAGTGGTCAGTGTGTTCCAGAAGGTGGTAGTCGACGTTGTATCTGTATGTCACCCTATTATGGTGATGATTGTAGAGAAGGTAAAAAAAAAACGAAATTTTAATAGAGATCGGTTAAATTGTTTTTTTTTCGTCTTTTAGCTCAGCGAACAAATCCATGCGATAATATCTATTGTGGTTTTGGACAATGTCATGAAGGATATTGTGAATGTCATGGAGGCTATTCAGGACCACGTTGTGATATTGCACGTAAGTTTTTGTTAATTAAATTCAATAAACTAAGATAAATTGTTTTATTTTAGCTGATCTTTGTGCGGGTGTTAATTGTAATCAAGGTACATGTTTTGAAGGTCGTTGTACATGTCTAGAAGGCTACACAGGAACTTATTGTGAAACTTTAAGTATGTAAAAGAGATTTTATTAAAACAAATATTTATTTTATATATATGTACAATTATAATAATAGTCACAACATCTCCACCAGTACCATCAGTTCCTCAAACACCATTACGTCCACTTTTAACACCACAAACTGTTGGTCTTGTTGGTCCAAAAAAAGGTCAATTAATTGATTATGGTCGTTTATTAGGTGCTCGTGCTGGTCCAATTGGTTGGCTATTAGCACCTCTTGCTGGTTTACTTTTAATTCCACTTGCCCTTGCATTTGCAGCACGTAAATGTACACAGGGTGCTTGTTTACCAGGCGGTGGTCGTTATATACCCGTAACTATGGGTACAACAGGTGCAACCCAAACTGATAATGGTATAATTATTATAAAATAATTAATTTTTAAACTATTTTTACAGGTGGTGCCGGCAATCGTGTAACTCGTGATCTTAAATTAATTGATGAACGCGAATTGAACTTAGCTAAAGCAGCAAATGAAACAGAAACAACACGAATCGAACAAACACGTGGTAAGTTAATGAGTGTAACTTAAATTAGAATAGAACATGTTTGAAAGTGATCCCATTACAGAAATCGTAAGAGAATATGGTGGTATGGAAGCTGCTGCTGGTGCTCTTACCACTTATCCAACAATGTCATCACGTTATGGTGACTTTGCACGAGAGAATCAGCAACAACAACAACAACAAACATCATCAGGCTATTCACAACGTAGGAATATGCATGAAATTGATTGTTGATGTTACTTTTTTTGCACGTTTTAGTCTATTTTTAAACTGATAACTAATTGTTTGTTTATTTTAGAACATATTATCGAAACTGATTATCATCCACCACCAGTTGCAGATTTTGGTTATGGTCGCGGTGGTGCAACTGAAGGTTATCGAGACACATTTGAATCATGGGAAACGACTGGTGCTGCGAGTGGTGGTTATTCAATGAATACTATGTTTGCCGATGGCGGTTTACAAACTGATTATGAATTAAGTAACATTAATTCTGTTAGTATGACACCAAATGGTAAATATGCAATTGTTGGACAAAGTCAAGGACCACCACAAATATGGGATGCTATTGTAAGAAAGAATAACTTAGTTTGTTTTTTACTACAAAAATGTATCTTTTATATTTTCTAGAATGGACAATTAGTATCGAGTATGCAAGGAACAAGTACTAATTGTAGTAAAGTTGCACTAGCATGTAGTGGAACACTTCTAGTTGGTTTAGCAAGTGATGGTGTTGATTCTCAACCAAGTATACTTCAAGTAAGTTTAAAATAGATATATTTTTTAAATTCTTCAATCTTCAAATTTGCTTTTAAAGATATGGGATGTTAATACAGGAAAACCAGTACAATTAACACATCAAATAAAATGTGCTACATTTGCATTAAGTAATAATTCAAGTAATCTTATTATGGCTGGTAATCAAAAATATGGACGTGGAATATCTGTTGGTATACTTGATTTAAATAATTCTGAATTAACCAAAGAAATAAAATCCGATACAAATCAATCGTATGGCGGTACACCATCATTTGTTACATTAACACCTGATGAACGTTATGCTATTGTTGGTTGTACATCAGGATCAACAACAAATTATGTTGTTTTTGATTTAACAACACAACAAGAATTAGTTCAACCATCAACAATAATTATGGATTGTGAACCAAAATGTTCACTTGTTTTAAATAATGAACAAATGTTAACTGGAACAAGAAATGGACAAGTTATTCTTTGGGATATACCAACATGTCAACGTTTACATACATTAAATGATAATGGACAAAGTGCTCATCGAGATCGAATAACAGATATAAAATTATCACCTGATCGTTCATGTGTTGTAACAGCAAGTGCAGATGGTACGGGCAAAGTTTGGGATACAAATTCAAAAGAACTTATTTCAAGATTAATTGGACATAAACGAGAAGTAAAACTTTAGTTTGAAAAAAAAACTAAATCATTCTTATTATTTGAATCTATTTTTAGATAACTTGTGTATGTGTATCAACGAATCAATTAGTAGCAACGGGTTCAAAAGATCAAAATATATGTTTATGGCGTATGCAAACAGGTCAAACAGCATCAACCATGCCTGTTTCTATGACACCACTTGATATACACATGGCTGCACATAATCGAACAATTGTTGCTATTGGTGACAAAGATGGCGAAAGACAATTACTGATGCTTCGTGTCGTATCTATACAACGATAACTTTTTTTTTCTTTTCATACGTTTATTTGCACAAGTATTTGAACAAGATTCCTGTTTTTTTTTCTTGTATTGGTGCTCTTGCTACTGCTACTATTCTAACTATAACTCTAATCCTGCTCCTGATATTTGCCATCATTGCTTATGAACAGTTGTTGTTTTATTTTATTTGTTTGTTTTTTTACTGCCTTTCTTTTCGTTTCTATATTGTGTTAGTCACAGTTCGTATGCATGTTTTGTCTTGCTCTGTTACCAATAATGTATAATATTATACCGCTAATGTTCCCTGCGTATCAAAAGAAGAAAGAAAAATGATCTGAATTTTAATATTTCTCCTTTCGTTTTTTTTCTTAGGTAATTCTTCTTTTATTTCTAACGTCTTCCTTTGACAAAAAAATAACTATCATTTTTCCTGTCTTAAGTGTGTGAAGTTTGTTTTTTTTTAAAAATTTTGTTCAAAAAAACTTTCGTTTATTTATTTTTTTTTCTATACATCATCATATGAAATAGAAAAATCGTTTTTTTTCATTTCAATGTTGATATAACAATTACTGATAAGTTCATGAGTGAATTAATAATAAATATTTGAAATGAATAAAATATTATCGTTTAATTATCATAATCAATAGAATGTATTTATAAATACCACAAAATATCCTATTTGAAGAATAAGACTTCTTCGAATACTTATAACAATATTTACTAATAACTTCTAACTCAATGGTATAAAAGAACACTTACGATTGATTGTACATGTAGGATGTGATTTTATTTTATTAATATTTTACAAAAAGCGAACCCTTTGAAGATGGAATTATTTTGCAAGAAAAAAATGAAACTTTCTAAAAGATATTACGAACATTGTACAGACGGTAACATATTCATCGCCTGTATAATTATAATTGCATGACAAAATGTCTACACAAGCTTCGTTATATTCATTCAAAGCCGGACGTAAATATACGTCTCCCATCCTCACGAGTAGTGAACGGTGGAATCCGACGCGACTCTGCAGTTCACTGCTCCAGAGGTTAACCTTACTTTTCAATTTAATCCGAAATTCCTTCAATACTTGTCGTGATTATGATTGATAAATACTACGAATATTTGTCTTGCAGTTCTTATCTTTATTGATCAAAATATAACTTCACCGATTATATAGATAAAAAAGCTAAAATGTGTTACTGTTAATTAATAAAAATATCTAAAGAGATTATAAATATATCATTTTCGAGCTTTATCATAATTCTTCTCGAACCAATCACAGGTATATTGAATTGCTAAGAGAGAAATAAATTATTTAATAAAATAAAATTATTTACAAAGCAAACCTTCTTCAAATGGTGTAAATTTAAAATCTGGTAAATAACCACGTAATTTTTTATTACTTGCTGTTTTTTTAAATTGTCCATCAGCTCTTGTTGTGTCATACTAAATAAATTCAATCATTAATTTTACTTATTTTATTTTATCAAATACGTACCTTAACTTCACCTGTAAAATTCATTGCTTTAACAACAGCTTCAGCTGCTTGTTTTATCGATACTTCATCTTCTTCTCCAACTAGAAAACAAAAACCACAAATTTGAGTAACGTTTTTTTATTCTATTTAATATAACCTGATAAAATAATTGGTTCAATACTATCATATTCTCGTAATACCCATAAATAAAGTTTAGCGAGATCATATGAATAAATAAATTGACGTAATGGTTTTCCTGAGCCCCAAATTGTTAATGGGGTATTATTTTCTAGCGAAATAATAGAATGAATATTATATAAATTAAATTTTCTGTATATCACTTTTTGCTAAATAACATTTATGAATAAGACCTGGTAAAACATGGCCATCTTCAATATTAAAATTATCATTTGGACCATAGACATTTGTTGGAATAATTGATGTATAATTGACACCATGTTGTACAGCATAACCTCTTTAATATATACATATATATATCTATACAACTTTAAATATATATTCTTACCTATTTAAAACATCAATCATTCGTTTGGCATATGAATAACCAAAATTTGAATCATGTGGTGGACCATTATGAACCTAAAAATAAATCATTTAATAACTTGATAAATTAAAATCTAATAAAAGTACCATTGTTTCATCAATTGGATAAGAAGTTTTGTCAGGAAAAATACATGTTGAAAGACAAGATACTACTCTCTTAACGCCTGTTTGATACGCAATAGACAAAACATTATCATTAATCTCCATATTTTCTCGCTAAAACAAAAAGAAAAATGAATAATTCAAAAAAAAAGGTTAAACAAACATACGAAGAAATCGAGATTACGACTTAAATTTCGAAAGAGACCACCGACAAGTGCAGCTAAATGGATAACATGGGTTGGTTGGTACTTTTTAAATAATGCTTCAGTTTGTTCACGGTTCCTATATATTAAATATGATTTAAATACATTTAAATTTTTCAATATACCTCAAATCACATTCTTTCGATGAAATAAAAAAATATTCTTCATTAAGTTTTTCTCGGTCGGATTCATTTTCAATAACATGTTTTATAGCAGAACCAACAAGACCAGTACCACCCGTAACTAAAATACGTTTTTGTTGTTCACTTGTCATTCTCAATCTGAAAAACAAAAACTAATCATTTTACGTTCGAAATTTTCATCTTATTGAATTAATCCATAGATTGATCGTAAAATAATACACATAGACAATCAACCTTGAATAAATAGTTTGTTATGCTTCATTAAATAGCATATATATATATACAACTTGACCTTGCATGTACTCAACTTCCGATATCAATATCGGAAATTTCGATTTGATCACGTAATATATGAAAATTAGGCTGAGTAAATAATCATAAAGATTGCTTACATGGTATATTAAAGATATTTTGAATTGTGATTAAAAATTTGTATATTATTCAAATGAATATACGATTGGTTTAGAATATTTCAAATTTCGATAGATGTCGCGTTTAATCATTTGATTTTATTGGATAAGAAAAAATACGTTTTTTTTTAATTAATAGAAGAGATCATTTTGAGAAGAAAGTAGGTATAATACTTTCATTTGTCTTAATAATTAATGAAGCGATTTTCGAATAGAAAAATGATTTATTTTATATTTCTAGATAAAATGAGTAATCCATCAGCCACTGAGGAACAAAATCGTTTACCAAAAGATGGACTTGTTGTTCAAACAATGCTTCAAGACATGGGTATAACAAATTATGAACCAAAATTAATTCCAATGGTTCTTGATTTTATGCATCGTTCGTAGAAAAATAAAATGTTATTTTTATTAGTTTTTTCTTTTTTAGAATATACAACAGATGTTTTAGAAGAAGCAAAATTATTTTCAATTCATGCAGGACGAAAACAAGTTGAACTTGAAGATATTAAATTAGCTTGTCAAAATTGGGCCGAAGAACATTCGACAATGCCATCAAAAGATGTATGAAAATGAAATATTGCCTATCATAATTTACATTTAATTTATTTTCATTTAGACTTTAACTGAATTAGCAAAGGGAAAAAATCGAAATGCATTACCACCTATAAGAAATTTTTCTGGTCCACGTTTACCAGCTGATCGATTCTGTTTATTAGCACCTAATTATAAATTAAAAGATACATCAAATGAACATTCAACAAATCAAGTAGAAATTTAAATTTAAATTTCTTCTTTTTTTTCTCATTATTTGTTTTTCTTATTTTTTAAGTCAACACAACAATATGGTACATCTAATGCTCCACCATCATCAACATTTATAACTAATGATAACAATGCATCAAGAGGACAAATAACAATAACAACGGATAGTGGAAGTTTTGCTTCGAATGATTTATTTTCATCATCAAATTCAACGAATAAACGAAAAATGAATGATTCAGATGATGAAGATGATAACTATGATATGTAAAGGAGATAATCTTCATGTTTGTATATTTATTTAAATAAAAAAAATAAATGAATATAATTTTTATTAAAGAACTATATCATTTTCGCACTTTTTTTTAATTCAATAAGTTGTCGCTACTAATATAATGTGACAAATAGAAATAGCTATTAATATTTTTATTATGCTTAACAATAATCAATTGATAAAAGAAAAGAAAGTTTTTTTTCTTCTTCATTGTTAACCAAGATTCTTCAAGAAAAATTGATACTGCTGTTCAATAGATATAATATTAATCAGATAATTGTATTTTTGCTCGATTGTTCTTTTCTACGTTAGGAGAGAAAGAAAAAAAATTAGATAAATTAGTTGTTTGTTATGATCTGATATTTGATGTATCCTATCAATATAAAAAGAAAGTCGAATGAATATTACAAATAATGAGAAAAAACACAACAAAAAAAAACGAGAAAAATAACGATAATTTCCCTGAAGAATCAACAATTACCTCTTTTGATGTTATTATTTATTATTGTTAGCAAGTGAACGAAGCCAGTCAAATGTTTCCATACAAACGTCAAACATATCTTGTGCTATGCGTTTATTACAATAAAGTCCTTCATCATTGGTGAACAGATCAATCAAGCCGACATTTCGTTCCCATTGAAGCAATAAATGTTTTGGTACTTCATATACACCTTCTTGTTCACGAAGAAAGGATATAGCTGATGAAAAACTACTAAAACATTTTGATTTATGACTAGCATGTATTGCTAATAATTGTATACCACGTACAAGTAAAATCATAGCATGACGAGCTATATCTGTTGTTTGTTTAATTATTTTTAAATTTTCTTCTTCATTTTTATCGTCATGTATTGATTTATCATGTTCTTCTAGCGAAATAGATGTTTCTTTAGTTTGTCTTTCGATATTAATATCACAAGCTGTTGATTGTAAGTCAGCAACACTTGATAATAGTTGACAATAATTTTGATCATCAGTAAGATTTAAGTCTTCATTATTAGCCATGAATTATTTAATTTTTATTTCGTATTTATATTAAAAGCATAAGGGAATGATGAAGTGTTACGCATGGTCGCCCAACCATATTCTTAATCTATTAAGTCTCTAAAAAGATGAAGAAAATGAAACAGATGTCAGCAATGATAGATTATTAGAAAATAGAATTTCTACTATTGTCTATTCTATAACAATTTTCTTTCCCAACAATTAATATTCTTTGTTTTCGTGGTGTTTATTAATAAATAACTTCACCCACATGGACATCAATAGAATGACAGTTTTCTATTCGGTATAAACATATACATGAGTCTTTCCCAGCCAACCTAACATCAATTTGTCATACTTGTTTCGATACTTCATCTTCGTAATTTGACACGTTTGTTCCCGAGTATGAGAGTACTATAACATGCAGTGATTGTTTGAGCTATTTTTAAGCTTAATCATTGTCATTGTCGTCATCAGTCTTTTTCTTGTTCTTTTACTTTTGGACAATACATAGAATAGATACAATTCGAAATTAAATATCCGTTTTATAAATAAATACGATAAAAACATTGTCCATCTAGTTCAATGACCATTTTACTGTTCTACGACACACATATTTTCTATGTCATGAACAGTCACATATATTCTATTTAAGTTTATTCAATAAACATAAGCGATCGAACTATCATTTCTTAAAATACATGTTAGTTTTTTTTTATTACGGAGACTTGTATGCATACTCGTTCGTTTGTTTTCACTATCGTCAATAAAAATGAGGCCATAATAGGAAGGTAATCATCGACAAATGTAAGTCATACTATACAATCGTTCACATGAAAAATTAAGAGCTAGAAGAGATAAACTAATTGATAGGATCTATTCAAGAATCCAAGGTCACATGAGAAATAAAAAGGGTTTTTTTTTTTGTTTTTACACATATACAAATATATATAAATTTAGATGTATAGATATACGTGTATGCGTGTCTAATAATAATATTATTTATATGTTTGCTCGTTTTTCATTTATAAAATAATTCAGTCCGTTTGTTGAATCTCTCGGGAAAGGTGAAAATGTTCCATCAATAAAGAAAGTCAATCGCAGCTATAGTAAAATGATAGAATTCTCTTTTAATACACAAAAGAAAAAAAAAAGAATAGAAAAGAAAATGAGAAATGAACGAATGACAGATAAGCCATCATAGGGAACAACTTCTATAAACGTTTTGTCCGCTCCCCTGACTCTCTCTCTCCCTCTGCCTCTCCCTCTCTCTCCCTTCTTCTGTGAATGAATTGATGACTATTCGCGAGAAGAATAGTGTTTGATGAAGGCGAACAACAGAAACGCGTATAAGAAAAGAAAGGGGAGACAGAACTTAGAGTCCACGATGCTTGTCTCTTGATAAATGATCATCATTACAAGAACATAAGCTAAGAGAAAGCAAGTACGCATTTACTATCGATTTTTTTCATTTGTATATAAATAGAGATGCTTTCGAACTAAAAAATTAATCGATTTCAATCATAAAGATCGAACGGGTATAACAAGAAGACAAGTAAAAAAGATAAAGAGAATGGTGATGTACGATGCATACGGATGCAAAAATCTATTCTGCCTATAGCTAGATGAATAGATCTGTCAAGCGCGTCCATCGTCTTTGGTACATGAGAAATCGTGATATAGGGAATAAAGATAAATACCATCAATATATATATATATATCGAAGAAAAACGATAGACAAAAATATTTTCTTTTTCTCTATCTCTCTTTCTTTCTCTGTCTCTCTGTCTCTCTTTCTCTTATTCTTGTGCATACACTTCAACTTAATAACAAATACTTAATACAGATCAGGTAAATAAAAATTATTTCGTTATGAAAAAAACAAAATAATACATAATAATTTTATTTAATTCATGAAATCTATTTATTTCTTCTAGACATCTTCTTTTCTTCTATTATTATTATATGTATGATCGAAGATCTTTCATATTTAATCTTTAACGATTCGGTCATATTCTATAATTTGACCAATTATGATGTTCAAGATCCATCATTTACAATCTTTTCATCATCATCAATATTTTCATCATCAGATTCAGTTGATTCATCACATCCCTATCCAGTACAATTTAATATAATACTTGCTATTATTGGTACATTCATATCATTACTTACTGTATGTGGTAATGTACTTGTACTTGCAGCATTTTTTGTCGATAGACAAATACGTCATCCAACAAATTATTTTATATTTTCATTGGCTGTAAGCGATTTTTTAATCGGATTTATATCAATGCCATTTTTAACATTAGCAATATATAAGAATAAATGGGTGCTTGGATCATTCTTATGCGATATATGGTTATCATTAGATTATACTGTATGTTTAGCGTCTATATATACAGTATTGTTAATTACCGTTGATCGTTTTTGTTCAGTTAAAATTCCAGCAAAATATCGAAATTGGAGAACAGAAAAACGAATTGTTTATTTGGTGCTTTTAACATGGCTTGTTCCAGCAGTTATTTTTTTTGTTTCAACAATCGGTTATCCATTATTTAGTAAAAAACCAAATTTAAGTAAAATTGATTTACAATGCGAGTAAGAAATAAAAATATTTTTCTTTATTAATCGTTAGTTTTTTTATTTTAGTGTTCAATGGAATAAAAATCCCTATTTTAATCTTGGTTAGTTCTTTAAATAAATATTATAAGATATAAATTATTAAATTCTTCTATAGGTCTTACAATTGGTTATTTTTGGGTGACACTTTTAGTTATGTTTACACTTTACTTTTTTATTTATCAAGTTGCTAGTGCACTTGAAAAACGTTCACAAGCAAATGCGAAAAAAGTTTCTAATCTTATCGGTATACCATCATCAGCAATGACAAATCTTGTGATAAATATGTCGAAAAATCATCAACCTCCTCAAACAACACTTACTTCATCATCTCCAACATCAAAGAAAAAACAATTACAACAATTACAATCAAAATCATCAACATTATCTAAACAAGCAAGTGTTGATGATGATCTAGGAAGTTCACTAATTCATAATGATAATAATGATGCTAGTACGAAACAAAATGGACTTGATCCTGCTAATCATTCATCATCGAATGAAACGAGTGGTGAACATACACCAACAGCAGTTGTTGCACCAAACATAACTAATTTACTTGCACTTACGAAAGCTGAAATCGATACAAGTAAACAAATCGAAGAAAACCGAACACTTTTGCTCAATGCACAAAATAAAACTTCACCTATAGTAACAACAACAGCAACATCAACAACATTATCAAGTCAAAAATCAACTAGAAGAAATGGTAGTAGTAGTAAAGCAAGAAAAGCATTACGTACAATTACAGTTATAATGGGAGCATTTGTTCTTTGTTGGACACCGGTTAGTATTTACATACAATTAATAATGATAATCATGAAAATTTTTCTATTATATGATCATCGAGGAATGTCTCATAGGAATTTAGTTTTTTTTTTTCTAAATAATGTAAAGAAATTAAGTATTGACAATTGAGTCGTGACAAAGGAAAAACGTCATAAATATTCCAGGTCATTATGACCGCCGTAAGCCATTTATATCTCGAAGTAACCATGCATGCAATTCCGATTTCTTTAACTTAACCTTGAGGCTATCTATATAGCTATCTTCACCTTTCTTAAAAGTAATATAGTAATAGTTCTTAGGGGTATATACATCTATCTTCAATATTCTTATTGTCATACTTGTTTTT